GGAACATTCCCATGTGGAAATGTTTGATTGGTGGTTGGCTCTCTTATAAGAGAGCCAACCATTGGCTCCATAGCACTACTGCTTATATAGAATGGTTGTTGTAAAAATATCCTTATAAACGGTTTTATTTACTATTAGTGATAAATTTGATAACCGGTCCCTCGGATGTGAAACGATCGCATTTTTAATAACCGGTCTCTCGGATGTGAAACTCGATATATGGAAATTATCCGGAAATCCGAGTCCTATGAGAGAGCGGCAGTGGCCTATGGGAAAGCTGGCGCGGAAATTCAAACTATCCGCATGATACAATGGCATCCACGAGACTCGGGGTGGATTACAATTAATACGGACGGGGGCCTATAATCGTAACTCGGGTCAATGCAGTGCAGGTGGCCTGATACGCAACGAGGCCGGTGAGTGGGTAGACGAATTTCTCATGAATATTGGTTTTGGTTCAATCGTTGGGGCCGAATTGTGGAGTCTTTTCTAGATCCTCCACCTAGTCTGGGAGTTGGGTTATATGAAGGCGATTGTGGAGGTTGACAGCCAGTGCATGCTGGAGATGATCCTGGGCCCACGAGCTTATCTTGGAGGACATGACACACTAGTCAGAGCCATTCAGAGCTTAGTGCATAGAGATTGAAGCGTTCGTATTCAGCATGTGCACCGAGAGGCAAACTCTGCAGCCGATCATTTGGCGGCACTTGCGGCATCTTCCACATTAGGCCTCCACAGACTATCGTCACCTCCCCCAAGGGTGGAGGACTGGCTTGATTACGATGTTCGAGGAGTGGCTCAGCCACGTCGTGTCTTAGTATCTTAGATTTTAGGCTTCGGCCTCCATCTTTGTACTAAAAAAAAAGTGGTAAATTTGATAAAAACACATTTGAATCTTTAAGAATCAAATTTAATCATATTATTAGACTATTAGGCCCAATTTTCTTTTCAACTATTTAGTAACAAAATTTAAATCCAACTTTTTTTAACACATTTAGAGATTCTTATGCCAAAATTTGAATTCTATTTTTTTTTATCATTTTTTATTTGTTCACAAAAATTT